GGGATACGACCAAGTGGCACGTGCTGTGGAGTGATGGAGTAAACGTTTCTTTCATTAAAAGTCGTATTTTTAATGTGTACAGATTAGATTTTTGATTGCCCACGAGGGGTTAGTTTAGTTGCACCCCTTACATCCTGTGCATGTAGCGCAGAAGGCTTAGTGCCCATCGGGGGAAGCATGCGGAGTTCATGCTTGACTTCGCAGGACTCATGCATTAAGGGCAAGATATTTCAGCGGTCAGGGGTTTGTCAGCAAGTTACATAGTGACAGAATCAGTGAGTGTGGGGGGAAAATTCTGTCCAATTTATCTGTTGACAGTGTGGCAGGTCCCATTAATGTCAAGTGCCAAGCCCGTCACTAGCAGGAGGATATTCCAGTCAGTGAGGAAGAGGTATTGGTAACGGCTGGGGACCTGTAGAGGAGACTATAGGTTAAGTGAGGAGTGGGAGGTGAGAGTTGCTGACCACAAAGTTTACAAAACAGTGCGGCTAGGTTTGAGGCCAATGTACTAGGTGTGGCAAAGTACAGGGGGTGGAGGATATGTGGTGGACAGGTACAGGTGGGAGGAGGCACATATATTGAGAGGTTATACCTTTTAGTAGAGTCAGACAAGTGGTGGGGTAATGGTAGCAAGGGTGAGTCCAGTCCAGGTAGCCCTGGTGGAGACAGCGCAGAATACAGAATCGGGCACGGCTTGTGGTGGGTGGAGGGACAGGTTGCGGCACCACGTGTCGAAGATGAGGCAGGACCTCCTGGGGGGTATGACACACCAGGGCAGGCTGGTAGGCACTACACCCAGTAGTGGTCACGCTGGCGGTGGAGAAAGGAGCAGCGGGAGCTATGGCGGGGACCACCAGCCAGTCAGTCCAGAAGAGAAGAATGACTGGGTGGCAACAGAGGGCAAGAGTAGGGTCGGAGACAGAACAGAGCAGAGGAAGAGTTTTCAATAGTGGTTGTGCATTTGGGAAGAGGGATAAGGATCTAGTCATGCTCACTGGAGGGGGGCTGGGTGCACCGGTGGGAGCACAAGGCCTGACAGCGTCAGAGCACAGACGGGAGGAGGCCCGAATTAGAAGGAGTTTGAGACGGCTGGATCATGGTAAGCAGATGGGAGCTAGGCAGGGAAGGTGTTGTTGAATAGAAGGTTGCTGGAGCATTGCAGAGGGACACAGAGGGGTGTGCCCTGGAAGACTGGGAGGGGGGGGCGTTGTGGTGATGCTGGCCTGGGAGGTTTCTCCTTGGGACAGATTTAAGATTGGGGGTATGGAGTTCAGCCCACACCACCCCTATTAGTGGTCTTTGATTTTCTTCTTGGGCACAGGCGGTGGAAAGGGTTATGAAGATATCTGACGTTCTACTTCTGGGTAGCAGGCAGTGAAGAGGGACCAATGAGAACATAAACACAAAATGTGGGCCCAGGATGATAGGCTTCTGCATACAGTAGGGGAGGAGGGTAATTCACAGTTATTGGGCATTCCTTCCACTTCTGACAATGACGGCAGCTTGTAGAATTTTTCCCCGGGTAATGTCGACGAATACTGAGGCCTAGGAATTAGTGTCACGCCCATCTTCGATGTCAGCGTATAGGGCGAAACGTTTCGATTGTCGCAAACATTCATCAGCGTTTACTAGGGGGGCACCAGAACAACCCTCGTCAAAGCCACCAGTATTAAATAAGCTCTATAGACCCCTGTGAGACCGACACTTGATAAAGTTCTGGTTCTGCCTTGTCGGAATTGAATGTTGAGACCATGCTGTCTGGCACTTCATCATCCACCAGTTTGAGATTGCTTATGGTTGGTGAGGCAGGTGATTGGGTCCGTGGCATTAGTGTTTCCAATTCGGCCAGTATAGGGAAACATTACCGCCACTGTCATAATCACTGGATCTGACCTTGAAGGGTGTTGATCCAGTATGACCAGAGTTGGCGATGGCATCTTTGGAAGGTTGTAGTATACCAATTCTTTTATATCGATAGTGCCAGTGTCCTTTCTGACGGGGCCTAATTTAACTATCACGAGGCAAATAATATTAAAGTCATAGTAATATAGAAGAGTGTATAATATAGTATAGAGTATTTCAGTATTATCTTCTGGCTATATGAACACGAAGAAACATTAATTTCATCTATATCTTTTTAATTCCCATCATTCGCGCAACTATATGCTAGCGAATTGTGTTTAACGGCATATTTCAAAAACCTTAAATTAATGTGGATCAATACCCTGATTTGACATTAATTTAAGTAATACTTTTGACCTTCCCACTGGGAAGCATGGAGGCCCACGGCTCTCACAAGGCCGATACGCATTTAACACATGTTATGATATGAACCCTTCCAGGTCACTATCAATATCATGTTATGTTCATCGTGCCTGTATCTTGGTAACTGTTTTTCTGTTGTTATACTAATTAGTTTGCTAGGTGATATATATATATATATATATATATATATATATATATATATATATATATATATATATATATATATATATATATATATATATATATATATATATATAACTCTTTCTCCACAAATGTGCAAGGATGAATTATACGATTCTACCCTTTGAGCAAATTCAGGTCCATATCGATACCGTGCAGGTACTCTCACACACGACGTCAGGTCGGTCATTCCTATGTCCCGGTTTCGGCCTGTAATTCCAGTGTGTATGATGCTTTCCTCACGTCCAATGGTTAAAACTAAGATTTTTACGGTTTGCAATAAATGCACACATGTATACATAGATTTTCCTCCATGTATTGATACTATGACTAGTTACCAAGATACAGAGCATTTACGAACATAACATGATAATGATATGAAGCCTGGAAAGGTCTACATCACACTTGTGTGTTTGTTTATGTTGCCTCATGTGAGGCCACTGTGGGCCTCCATGTACCCAGGTGGGATGGTCAAAGCATTATACCAGTAAGCTGCCAAAAATGAGGAGGACTGATCCACATGTAAGTTAAGGTTTTTTAAAATATGTCCAAATCAAACAATTCTCATATAGTTATGAATGATGTAAAACAAAGATAGATGGGGTGTGGTGGAAGTGCTGTAAACGCGTTGTATGGATTCACTGGATGGTTTATGCTATTTCATTCATACTTTCGTAACTACAACCTATGTACTCTTCCATGTTCCTGTATGAAGATAATGCAGAGTATACAAATATTTACATACATAATATTGATGGTTGAAAGTGTGCCCTGAAGAATGCAGTGATGGCTAGGGAAAACACTGTGTAACACTGAGTCCGCGATGATGAGAAATACAAGGCAGACTAGGTGCTATGCACGGC